TGCTACTGCTGCTCCTGCTCCTGCTCCTGCTCCTGCTCCTGCTCCTGCTCCTGCTCCTCTGCTGCTACCATGGAGTATTGCCCTGCATGCCCTGCACTATGAAACGCAGAAGGGGGGAGGCTCACCTTCTAGATTATATGCGGTAGATTATTATATACGCCTTCAACATGATGACCGAATGGGCCGAATGGGCGACCGTTTCAGGCTTTGAGGTCCCCAGCGGCAGCCCACTGCAGAAGCAAGCGTGAGCGCACACATGCATCCTGTTCACACGCCGGCCTGCTGACAAATCCGCAGGATACATAGTACCGGCAATGACTCCACCTTATAAGCAGGTCACTCTAGATTGTCTCTTCGCCAGGGAACTCTCGCGTCCTGCCGGGCTGCAAAACTTTCAACAGTAACACTGCAACCAAAGTATTGCAGAGAGCTTGTCAGAGCCGTGGATGCCAAAGCATCTCTTTCGGGGTCGTGTTGCAGAGCAAGACGTTAAGCTTCAGTCGTAGTTATAAGCGGGTCAATTACACACCACTTTGACAACCCTCTTAATTGCTAAGAGCAAAGTTGTTGAATTCTTCAGAAATTTCGTTCAGGTTCGCTCCAATGTTGAACATTGAGGTTCACTGTGACAGGCTTTGTCTATCACTCCGAACGCCACGAGTAAGCAGTCTGCTGTCTCGGTTGCTGTTCTAGATAGCATTCCTCATCTGAGGTGTTTCTATGTCTCACCTTTGCAATCTACTGCTAACGGAGGCAGAACTATAGTAAACTCCTACCGAGGTCCGTTCACTCCTCCCCTAAACCCCAAACCCAACGCTACTTGCAGGCTCATTGGTATCAGTAGGGGAACGCAAAAAAAACACCCATATCAGGGGACTTATAACTTACAACCCCACTTCTAACTACCCTGAACCCGGAAACCTATACCCTAAACCCCAGAGAGCCCTTTAAAGCGGCCCCACTTATAAGTTATAGGCGCCCCTAAACCCTAAACCCTAAACCCTAGACCCTAGACCCTAAACCCATACCCTCCATGTGGGCTTTGTTTTGCTCCTTCGGCTGGCCAGGCTGACTGTGGCCAGGGCCTCAGTTCCGTTGGAGGTCAGAGTTTAGCGTTTAGGGTTTAGGGTTTAGAGTTTAGCGGTTTAGGGTTTAGAACGGTTTAGGGTTTAGAACGGTTTAGGGTTTAGAACGGTTTAGGGTTTAGAGTTTAGGGTTTAGCGTTTAGGGTTTAGAGTTTAGCGTTTAGGGTTTAGGGTAAAATAGGGGCCTTAGTAGATAGACTAGGGTTCTTTTTTGACAGGCTCAAATTCTTTCAAAGGGTTCGGATATTTTTCAGGGCTACCACGGACCAGTACAAGGTTTTGGAGTGCAGGTGTTAGGGTTTAGGTTTAGGGCTTCGGTAGTTAGTGGGGCTCAGGGTTTTAGGCTTCAGGGTTTGAACGTTTAGGGTTCTTCGGATTTTGTGCTTACCTGCCCAGTGGAAACCCAGAAATGTGACACCGAGGGGACAGGATAGCTTCGATTGCTCTCCATCATGTAGCCATCTGTGTGATGCCCTCAGCCCTCAACCCTAAACCCTAAACGCTATAACCCTAAACCGTCATGGCTTTACGAAGGCTCGCTGGTGCAGATGCACGACCAGACCCCTGGCGAGTGCATTCTCATTCCGGACGGTCACTGGCCCACCTGGCTCGTGTGAAGTCGACAGGGTGAGGGCCCTCAGCCCTAAGACCTAAGCCCTAAACCCGCGAATCCAGGCGGGCCTCAGCTGAGACCTAAAGTCTATAAGCTGAAGGGGAGCCCCACACGTTGACCTCCGACCCATATAAATCCTGACCTCACATTGACTCCATAATTAAGAGATATGAACAGTTCTAAAACAAACATGCCCGTTGCAAGACCCCTACACCCAGCACTCCATGACATGATCTTGATATTGTTAGGAGGCTCCATCGAACTCGGCCACGGGGGGCACGAAACCCTAAACCCCCAAATTTCAGGGTTAGGGGTGTAGGGCTTAGGGGATGAGGGACCCACTTCACCCACCTCTAAACCCCAAACAAACCCTAAACCCTAAACCCCCTAGGCCCTAAACCCTAAACCCTAAACCCCAAACCCTAAACCCTAAACCCTAAATCCTAGCCAGGCACTGCACTTACAACTCCACGGAGCACTTCACCTTCGGCGTGGGTGGCATGGGAAGGAGATCTGAGGAAGTTAATGTAGGGGCCTTAATAATTAGAATAGGGTTTTGGGGGTTCCTAATTGTAATTATAGTATGATATACCCCCAAACCCTATTCTGGCTCAAGTTGGAGTAGCTCCTTCTCGCGGTTTGAGCCGCTAGTGCCCTGTATATACACGTGGCTTCACACTCTACGTGTCTAGCCATGGTAGGGGACTACAAATCTTACTCCATTCGTACAGGGCTGACAAAGCTCTTTGCACACTTTGGATACTGCTGCCGCAGATCCAATCTTTCAGCACGATGTATCTTCAGGATAGCGTGTTCTTGAACACTTGAGGATTGCCGCAACTCCTGCAGTGACCTTCGCCAAAGGTCGCACTGAGGCACTATGCAATTGGTCCCCGCTGGACCGCCCGCCATTTCAGTCAATTCACTGCTGCATTCAAAATTCGTTCACAAAAAAACTTAAAAATTACACAGTATGCTGTGTGGATACGTGCAAGCAAGCAACATACAAAAAATGCAATAAATTCAGCAAGCAGAAGCTCTGCGCAACAGCTGCTCTGCCTGAGATGAACGATATGGGTGATGACAATGCTGACTCTAGCATCACAGCGCACGCGTTATGCAGTATCCAAGGATCTGCGACAAGAGCAAGTCCTACGCTGTTTGAAACGATGGGTTTGGTTTCTTCGGCTCTTCCTTGGAAGGCCTACTTGCGACTATTGCAACCCACCCATCCTCCGAAACTTGCTGCGTTTGAGGCCAATGACAAAAAGAACCCTAAGTGCCCTGACCACCCTAAGACGATATGGCTTCTTCGCCCAGGAAATCTGCCGACGACACGATGCCATTGCATCCCGACGAGCAGCCAAGAGCTGCAAGCTGGCTTGGGGTGGTTTTTGGGCTTGGGTCTTCAGGGCACTTCTCTTTCTTTGCTGGATTTGTGTCGCTAGGAATTGAGGAATTTGGAGTGGACCCCATTGGTCATGTTCCCTACGCAAACCCCCTAAGCACAAGCACCAAAAATTCGCAAAAAAGCACACCAGACATGACGAAAAAATTGGAGTTAAAGTTGATGTGTACTTTCATGGTTCCTCCGAGCCATTGCACATTAACAGCATTAATTATTGGTGATGGCAACTGTTATTGGCGCGCAGTCGCCAAGCAAACCAAAACATCATGGCACAATCTCAAAAAGCAAACGACAAAGTACATGAAGTTGTATGCCCTTGAGCATCATGACGAAGAAATGCTCCGCAAAACCAAAAAGATTCAGAAGAATAATGCATGGGCCAACATGCTAGCAGTACTTGGAACTGCCTCTTTTCCTAAAAACGAAATCCGCATTTGCGTTAGGCAACACCTTCTGCGATGCTCACCTTGGCCACATGCCTCGCCTGCAGCTAAGGGTTCGGGAGGGGTGATTAACTTGTTCTTCGATGAAAACCAATGAATCCAGAAGTTAAAAAAATTAAATCCTGATTTAATTGTTGGGTTTAGACCTATCTTGGACCCTCCAATGATACGATTAAGTCGGGTTTTAATTGTGTTGTGCTGTGCATTCAACGGTAGGCAATTAAATCCTGAGTTTATTGTTTGGCAGCTTTTTCTGCGAGACTTATGCTAGTCGGTACCTATTTGCCCCATTAAATCATGATTCAATGTGATAATTCGTCATCCTTATTCGTAAACACAAGGAATGTAGTTTGTACTTATGAGTGCCATTAAATCATGATTTAATGTGATGTTTCGTCATCCTTATTCGTAAACACAAGGAATGTAGTTTGTACTTGTGAGCATGTTGATTGTTGAACTAGGTTGTGCTGTTCTACTCACTTACTGCTAACTTACGGCGAAGTCGCCTTATGACTTTCCAGGCAAGCATTTAGGCAAACATTTAAATCAGCATCTAATTGGGAATCTTAGGAGCCATGTCCGAACAGTTTTCAGAGATTGAGAGAACAATTAAATCTTGATCTACTTGTGGGAATGTCCAAACATGTGCGGTATCCAGACCTGTTTTCCAATCTTAATCCATGGTTGTGCCTGTATCAGCAGTTTTGGCTGTAGCACAGACCCGAGACAGGATGATGGCGCTTCGTTTCGTTTTGCTGCTGCCAGCAGCTTGTGCGGGTCTGCTGTTTCGCAGGCCTGATCATGCTGGCCAGCGGATGCAGTTCCAAGATCAGGAAGGGTTGTCTGCCGACCAGGTCGATGCTGGCTGGGAGGCACCTGTATCGCCTCTGCGTCGAGATCTGCTGGCAGAGCCGGGAAAATTGCGCGACCGGGGCGACCTTGTGGATGTAGCTGACTTCTCAGATCAGAGCAAGGCGGAACAGAACGGTTCTGGTGCTTCCGGCAATGCCGAGCACCAGGAGCAAGGTCTTGCACCAGCGGCTCCTGATGATGTGCACGCCATTCAGCAGGTAGCTCCGAAGAAACCGAAAGGCCGAGCAGGATGCAAACGCAAGGCTTGGACCGAGCACGAGTCGGTGCAGAAAACGGAGAAGCTTCGCAAAGCTGCTTTGTCATGGCTGAAGGACCATAACAAAGTGCACACTGTGCTGACATCGTCTACTTGGTGTGGCAAGCGAACATACCTGGCCAAGTGTTCCCGATGCCTGGATTGCTCGTTGGAGTGGTGTTCGTCCTGATGGCAACATGCTGGTGGAAATCACGGGGGAATGCACGCAAAATCCGAACACAAAGGCCATCCGACGAACTTTGGCCAAGCAGTTCGCAGTGTCCAAGACAGCAGCTGAGGCACAGAAAGAGATGGAGGCCTTGGGGATTCCCCAACAGGAGAGGCCTCCAGCAGCTCCAAAATTTCAGACCACGGAGAGCAGTCCAGATCCAGAAGCAAGCAGCATTGCCTTTCCTCTTTACGTTCTTTCTTGCAGAACCCGCCGGAGAATGTTCGAGTGGATGCCGATTCCTTGATTTGCGAAGTGGACCAAGTTCGGATCTTGTTTTCTGTTCCAGAAGCAGCAGACTGGTTCCAAACTTGCGACTTGCCATGGTTTCTGATGGACTTTACGATGAAGACCAATGCTCCGGGCCTTGTGCTGGGCGCCATTGGACCTATCGGTTTGAAGCGTTTGCCTAACGGCACGCCGCACTTACGGTTCGTGCCTGTGCAGTACATGTTATCTCATGTTGAAGATCAGGAGGCTCACGGTCTGCTGATGCAGAAATACGTTGCAATGGCAGAAAGCGCTGGCATTGAGCTGACTGATGGCATCTTCGATTGCGCTTGTTACGCTGGTGCCAAGGCCGCCTTGTCACAAGAAGGGATGCCTCAGGCGATTTGTCTTCATCGTTGTCTACAACACACCAAGGAGAACATGAAGGAAGCGGCCAAAAAGCGCGACGAAGCCTCCGGCGAAGTGGTCTGAAACAGGACAGAGTTAAAAGGATCAACGAGATAAACGCGGCACTCAGTTTGCATAAGAAGCTGCAAAAGTTCGTAGGAGACCCCATCATCGCCACAGCTTTTGCCAGGCTTACAGGTGGCAAGTACCGTGCAGATCTCTTCTTCAGAGATGAGATCTGGCCGGGGAATTGCTCTAGGTACAGAGTGCAGGAAGCTCGCTTAAACAACATGGAACTGTTGCCTGTGCTCCTTGAAGTTCTGCAGTTCTCTGCTTGGCTGCCTTCTGACGAGGATGCTCCTTGAGACTCGTAGCATTTTGCGGGCTTGAGATTCCAGAGTGTTTCGTGTTGTCGATCTTGTAGCAGTAACCGATTCGGCAGGAGTTTACTGCGATTTGGGGCTCCATTCTGCACCGCTTGGCCACTGATTGGGACGAATCGGCCTTCGAGCAGTACATTCGTGCCAACCTGTTGCACGTCGAAGGAAACGTCATTCGAGCTTTTTGGCAGACAGGATTCGGTGCGGTACCATTAGGATGCACCACATATGCTCCCAACACCATTGAGAGGTCTTGGCGCCTACTCAAAGGATTGCTGCAACAGAGGCGGGGGGCTGTAAAGACGGCTAGACAGCTCTTGAGCTTCGCCCTGCAATCCCAGAATGCATAATGTTTGGGTTGTTGCATAAAAAACTGGCTTCAGGGCAAAGCCTGCAGCTCTCGAACAGCAAAGCGTCTGGCTTGAGGCCCATCAGCTCTTGCTTTCTATCTAGTCTGCTCAAGAAAGCCTTGCTTCCAGGACCCCCCGCCCCGCGGGAGTTTATTCGCGTCACCCCCTTTCTTATTGCGATCCGCAGGGCTCCTAAGGGATACGTTTGCCGGCTTTGTGAAATTGCTTCGTTTACAAGGGTTTCGAATCAGGCAGAGGCTGCAAGAATAGCTGCGGCAGTTCCTGGAATCCAGAGTCCTTAGCTTCAGGCCAAAGCCTGCAGCTGAAGGGTAAAGTGAAAAGTCCCTGAGATGTCTGAAGAACTGCACTCTGCCAGCTGGCTTTCGGGTTTAGGCTTCTCTTTTCTGTTTTCTAAGCATAGAATAAGCTTGAATCTCCTCACAGCAAGCCTGAACATTTTTGGGATCTAGGGCCCGCAATATTGTTTTATTGTCACCCTGTTTCTGATTATCACTCTTGTCCTAACCTGGCATCAATTGTTTGGCCGGGTCTGCCGTAAACGCTAAGGCCTTAACCCTTACTAACTCGTCTCGTCTCGTTTCCTTCGTGACCTGCCGGGACCGCGCATGGGGGTATCCAGACCCTCTCACTTTGTATGGGGGTATGCAGACCCTCTCACTCCTTTGGCGGGATCGGTCTTTTTTCTGTGGGCATTTTCTTCCCCCGTCCCCCGAAAATCTCCAGTCTTTAACCCGTGTTCACCCTCGTGGGGTCCGTGGGTCGACGTGACCTGGGAGGGTGGTGGGGTTGCTTTTGTTTTGGGAGGGCCTTGAAATCCCCTGGTTCTTCGTCGTGCTTCTACTGCTTGTAGTGAGAATACATACTCCATCCCCACTCAACCTTATGTCATTAGACAGTCGAAGCGAAGATAAACACTTTGACGTTGCAACCACGAACATGACAATTTTTGGCGATCCCTGGTTTTATAGGACAGTTGACAAGTCTAGACCCTCAGCCCTCAGCCCCAAACGCATGAAAGCCTGAACAAGTCAACAGTCCGACAGTTAAGTAACTCCGAAAGTCAGCATTGCGTGTAAAGACTTCAACCGAAAAACAATAGGCTGCAACCACAATGCCTTGTCCAGGCATGGGTTGCAAGAGCCGGCGACTCTCATGCTTGACGTTTGCCTTGTCCTCAGATCCCGTCTCAATGCTGGAGTATACTCTGACATGTGTCATGTCCTGGACGAGCCTTGGCGAGCATTGCAAACTGGTGCAAAGACCACGTGGGCAGCGCGGTCCGTCGAGCAAGATGGGGATGAGGAGCAGCGTTCCAAGCGTCTCAGCTTGGATGACATCTTGAAGCATTTCCGCAAGCATGGTGCTCGCGGAACCTTTTTGGCGTCCGTGACATCGCGGGTGTTGTCAGACGGTCGTCAGGCGAGACTGTTGTACGTTCTCCCGAAATATCGTCTCGAGCTTGGCATCAATGGACATCGCGGCCGCCCTGAAGCTTGGTTTGGCCACCACTGTCCCACAGGTTCACGAGGCGTGTGCGGACCCCGAGACAGGCCCACATGATGCAAGAAAACACGGGTTTTGCATTCCTTGCGACCCCCCCAAACGATCATGTGTTGTTTGTTTGGGGCTCTCCCAAAACCCTGCACAAAGGAACCCTTGCTGCGCGACTTCTTGTCCATTCAAGACTGTAGAAGTCCCTGAGGTCATTACGACTTTGTGCGCCACATGTTCCTTCGGCGAACCTACAGCACAGTATACAGTATATGTCACGACAGACAGAGATGTGTTGGACATGCATGCCGACTATGTGGCCGGGGGAGGGCACTCTGAGCATGCCTTGTTCGGGAAGTCGCTACAGACAAAAGATGGACACCGGCAAGTGCGATGCGGACCGGTGAACTCTCGTCCGAACAAAAAAACCCAAGGCCAAGGCGAAGCAGTCGCAGAGATTGCGGAACATGCTGCGGGCATCGCCTCCCAAGTCTGCCGACTCCACTGCTGCCGCACAAGCCTTGCCGAACCCTCCCATGGATGCGGCCGCACGGATGCAGTTGCTTCCGGGTGCACTGGCCCATGGCGCCCACCAGCCAATGGTCCGGTCTCTCGCTCAGGACCAGGGTCAGTCACAACTTTTCCGTTCCTACTTGAAGATCTAATCTTCTAAGGCTTCTTACAGTTTCCGAAGTGAAGGAATCGGAGACGCGCTGCATGGCATGTGCACTTCAAGGAGGCAGTGACGTCACTAAGGCCTAAACCTAAGTTTTGTTTGCTTGTTTCCTCATGCTGCCGGCAGGCTTCCTCGACACAGTGGGATTTGCGAATGTTCGAGCATGTGCGTGGAGCAGCAGGGAATGCTTTTCGTGCTTGGGAACAGCAGCTCCTCAACCTGGCCATCGAGGCAAGTCTGGCTGAGGATGTGGAAGCTCGTGCACGCTATTGATGCCAGGCTCGCCGCTCAAGGCCGGGCGAAGTGCCCCTAAACCCGAAGCCCTAAACCCTAAACCCTGCCTCTCAGCAACTTTTGTCGGGAAGCTATAGAAGTCTATGGAGGGCTGGGCAGGTTGCAAGGGCTGGGAGACTGGAGGGCTGGAGGGCTGAAAGGCTGCTTAGCTGGTGGGCTGAAAGCACAGACTCCATCGCGGGGTTGAGTATACGTCACCAAACTCTGCAGAGAGTTTTCCAAGGAAAAACCCTTAGTGTAGCTTCGAGGTCCCCTTTGAATGGACAATCTAGGGCCAAATCCTAGAGGGTTTGGACAAACACCATTCCGGGGGTCCGCTTCTCGCAAGAATCTCGCAAGAATCTAGCCTGGCAGGATTGAGACGTATTCCAGTTCCGGGATGCGGAGATTGCCAGTTTGATGCCATCATTTACAGTGCTGAGCTTCCCATGACGGCCGCTGCTCTAAGAGCAGAGATTGTCAACTACCTCAGGCCGCAGGGGGACCGTTTCCGGGCTCGCTTAGAAGAGCGCTTCAACGGCCGATGGCCTTCGTACTGTGAGCATATGAGTAGACCTAGATCTTGGGGAGATGAGTTGACACTTCTGGGTGCTAGGTCATGTTTTGCGGAGACCTATCCACATCATCACAGATTCAAGCTCGGACGCCCAAGAAGAATTTGAAAGAATCATCCAGCCTCCGCCTTGCCTACATTCATCTCTCTGGGGTCCACCCATTATCATTTCCAACGCCATGGACCGCCATTTCGATGCCATCGAAGCTCTGGCGTGAAGTTTTGTACTGTTCCGGGCCTTCCTCTTCCTATCCGACTGACTGATAGCTGACAGTTCGGACACTTTTGAACGGTCGCCCAGGGACGCGTCCCGTAGCGTTTTTCTGCCCGCACATGCATCATGCATGTTTGCGAACGACAAACAACCGTGGCTCAAGCTTGGAAAAAAGCAAGGGATTGCCCAGCAGTCTGTTGTAGGAGTAGGGACCCGCAACCTCCCGAAACTTGAGTGTGGCATTGAGTCACACTGGACATCATTGCTGGCGCACGCACCATTTAAACACCAACGGACTCGCATATATCGCATCCATTGCGCGTGTTCCTCCCTCGGCCAAGTGGCCAACCAGGGGTTGGGTTTTCTTCTCACCTGTAACTAGCGTGCTCTGCTTCTGTTCCCACCCTTCCCTAAGGCAGTTCAGGGTGTGTACAGGGTCATCCAGGGCAAAGTTGGACCCTAGGGTTGCCCTACTAGGTTCAGAGCTGGATTCTGGGGTGGAGGACTTGGTGGCGGATTCCGCCTTGGGCCCGGAGGAGGAGGAGGACGATGAACGACGACGACGACGAAAAACGACGAGGGTTCACTACTCACTGTGGTGTGTGTGTGTGTGTGTTGCAACTGTGGCAAGCACTACTGGTTTGTGTGGTTCCCGATCTGACCTGTATTCAGGCTTGGCTATTGATTCATACCCATTAAATCTTGATTTAATTTTGGGATATTTTGGGCCGAGTTGGTGTATTGTAGGAGAAAACAATTAAATCCTGATTTAATTGTGTCGTGTCTGCATGGGGTGGTGTAGGAGAAACAATTCAATCCTGATTTAATTGCGTCGTGTCTGCATGGAATGGTGCGTCGCGCAACGTTCACGGGCCAATTAAATCACAAGGAAATTGTAATGGAACTGAGGGGTCCAAGACGGCCCGAAGCCGGGCAATAAACTTCAGAGTTAATTCTTTTTAACTCTTGGATTCACTGCCTTCCTGTTCTTCGATAAGAGTCACTACAGCGGAGTTGATGCAGGTGACGTCAAAAGTAGGCTTGATTCTGCTGACCCGACATTGATGAGTAGCCTTCGTGAGTTCTGCTGCATTCCAGTCGAGCAGTGTTGCAAAGACAAAATCATCTACAGGCACAGAATGAATCACCAGAATAATCCCAATTGCAGATACACTGGGGTTTTGGGTTCTAGGGCTCATTCGTCCCATAGGATAAAGGTTCAAGCCAATCAAAGCGGCTGTCTCACCATGAGCTCTCCAAGAAAGCCGGCGTACAGGCCTGCTGGCAAGGCTAGTGGCCAGAGACGACCTGGAGAATCCAAGCAAGAACAGATAGCAAGGTTGGTCAAAGCTAGAGGCCGAAGGAAACATCTGGCCCACCACCGAAAGTCAGTGGGCCAAAAGAGCCTCCAGGTCCCCCTCCTGGCTATAGGAAGCCTCCTACACCACCTCAAAGGCCAACACGATCGCCCGATATTGACGACATCGGAACCACTTTGAGCCGACCGCCTACGCCCCCGATGCGACCAAGCAGGAACCCCAACCTCATTGACGACAGAAGTCATCCTGCAGCGCCTATGCCAAGACCTCCTAGCTTCCATAGGCTCATGTCTCACTCGCAGACGACTTCATCATTGCATACAAGGGCAAACGATGATTCGACTGATGAGGGAATTCCCTCAATGACAGCGCTAGCTTCATCAGCCACGCCGACCTCGACAAGGCCCACACCACCACCAGGCGAAGTAAGAGCTTTGCCGATGCAAGATTCATTCCCCGGGTTACGATTGCAAAGGGTCGTGATTTGCTCAAGGGGGACCGAGGTTGCTGATCGTTTCACCCCAGCGGTTCCGGAAAGCAAGTTCTCCGGATGGGATACCATTGTAAAGAGTTTGCACAACATCTCGGAGAAGGACCGAGATAGAGCTTTGCAAAAACACATTGGTATTAATGGGCTCATACTCAAACAATGCCTTAGGCAACCTGCTTTTGTAAAAGCAGTCGCTGAAGCTGTCGCCCAAACCCTGCGCTCTAAATCAGCTGTGCTTCTGTTTGAGTGTGTTCAAGGACGTCACCGGTCTGTAGCGGCGGCTTTCGTTGCTACTGAGGCCCTAAAGATGATTATCGAACCGCAGGCTGTTACGACTAGGCACCTTGCTTCTTTTTTTTGGAAGGGCACTTGTGAAGGACAATGTGAAGCCTGCAAGGCGGGGCCAGAGCCTGATTTCCAGAATTCGGTCATTGAGGTTGTGGATGCTGTTCGTGAGCTCATGCGAGAGTATACGGCGCTTTCTGTTGGCAGTGTTCGCTGTGATAGGTCTTTGTGTGGGGGTTGTGAGGCTATAAGGCTGTCAGTGAAGACTGCATGTGCCCACTTCATGCTGCCAAGCCGATTGCGTGACACTACTTGTGGTTTGAATCCAATATCCGCGAGTCTGAGGAATCCCAATCGAGACGATCCCGATGTTTACAGCCTTCCCGCAGCTGTGCTGCGAACTAAAGGGATTGAGACCAACATCACAAAATTATGCAGCGATGGCAAAAATTCCAAACAAATCAAAAGCAGTGATTCGAACAGCTGCGCTGACATTAACAACATTGCCAAACATGTCAACATGCACAATCAAAATGTGCAGACAAACAAGATCATCGAGCATAGACGCGACACATTATTCAGGACGGATGATAATGATTTCGATGGTGGGCGACTTGCTTTTGAAGCTGGGAAGGGTGTCAACTTAGTGTTACGGGATTTCGTGACCCTGGTTACATCCTAAACAGGTGTTCCAAACATTGTGTGTGCGATTGCGCGTGAAAGCTAATTGCAACATGATTGACGAGCATTGCCAGCCACCAAACATGAAGTCAAAACACGCTGTGTCACAAGTGAGTCACAAGCATTCAAAAACAAAAGCACAAAAATGACTCGCAAAAACCCTTCAGCAACTACACATCTTAGGAGCGGTGACCGAGAACAACAGCACAGTGCATCTGCCGGCGTGCCTACAATGCTCGATGTCTCGAGCTTCGCTGCACATGGCTTACCTTGCCTATGGTTGATTAGGGTTAATATTTCTCTTTCACTTTGGAATGATGCGGTTCTTTGTCATTCTGTTGTGACTTTACAAGGAGGGATGTTGAATCACTATTTGGATGTTGGGGTTGGTTTGGATCGGCTTCAGCAACAAAGCTGCCCCGCATCAGGCATCACCCCGTTAGAGGAATGTGCTAGCAATATCCTTATTGGAGATTGTGTGAACATTGAAAACATCAGAACTCGACTGGATCATCCCGAAGCACCCTGGACTTCGAACGGAGACGGGTTTCAGATCA